GTTTATTCTTAATAACTAAAGAATATATATATACATAGAAAAGGTGAACTGACAACTAGAGGGTACTTAAACACAGCAGTTGGATTTACTGTATAAACACTTCGCTTATTTAAATAAATACGAGATATTCTGCCAATCACAGAACATGGAAACTTATTTTTGCATAAATAATATTTGCTAATAAATTCTTTGAGCATAATTCGTACATGTTACATATTTTATAAATAGCATCTTAACAAAACAAAATGTTATAAGCCATGGGGCATGTAAGTTTACCTTTATTCTTTGTCTGGATAAGCTTGCGCTTGTTACGTATTATAATTTCAAATAGTCCGATGCCGAGTTAACTGATAATTCAGATTTAGTAATTAAACTGTACTTTGGACTTAGTATTTAAATAAATGCCGATATATTAATCAATTTACGATATTTGCCAACAAGATTGATACACGCCGTTTACGTTTTTAACACAAATACGTTTTAATATACACACAACAGTACAGTTTACAATAACAATTATTACAAATTTTCCGATTGATAAGCGTTATAAAAATCACAGTTACAACTTTCGAAGTTTTATAGCACACAGACCATAGCGAACTGATAATAGACACTCTCCTTTTGGCGCGTCGCGTTTGTTATATTTATAGCTGGGTAGAGGCGTTCTAGAAATTTCAGTCTTATGTAACAATACTAATTAAAGCGTTTACGTATATAAATATATTGTTGATTCTTACTCTCGAGAATTTTCTACAACTTTGGAGAATATGCGGGAGTTTTGCAATACCTATCTAACAGTATAAGATATGTATGTTTTTAAATATAAACTTAATCTAAACAACGTTCATACATAACAACAAATTTGTTACATGCTGGACAGAGTTATGGTTAAAAAGTCACATAATTTGTTCTTGAAACAATACTCGAGACCTTCTATCTCAATAACTATGGCTAACTAAAATATTGTTACGACAGCGAGGGTCACGTGACGCTAGTAACACGTCATATTCTCGAAAGTTCGTGAAGTCTCGAGCTTTTACTAGATATGCGGTAGTCTTGTATATATAAGCCGCCAAGAACTGACGGCAACAATGTGTGATTGAACTGCCGACAGAGAGAGACGTATTGTTGAGTCGAGCACGTGAGACGTTAGTTGTGAATTATAGCGTTTGTTATAGCGTGACTGTGGAAATTAAGTGTATTGCAAAGTTGTATTTAGAAAGAATAAACCAGTTTTATTTAAGAAAGGACTTGTATCACTAAAGTTTCTTTGGAAAGAAATTATACGGAAAATTAACTAACGAACGGAGGCGTAACAATATTGATAATATCAAAAAAGGTGATTTTCCAATTTTTAGACAAAATTCATCCTTTCATTCTTTATACTTATATTATTATTCTTTCGCAAGCCTTCAGAAATAACGGCTATGTATATTTTATTCAAACCTGGGAAACCTACTAAAAAAACTCCTGCGCAGGTCATAGGGCTATTTTATGCTGATTCTTGAAAGAGAAGAAGAGATTTTATCAATTTTTTCAGTACCCTGGTGAGACAGCGGTAAGTATTCGTATTTACAATGCTAAAATCAGGGGTTCGATTTTCCTCCTGGGCACAACAGACAGCCCAATGTGGCTTTGCTGCAAGAAAACAGACACCCACACACACATATAGTTTTTTCATCGCCACTGACCAAGTTTCTCTTGGAAGCCATTCAAGTACCGAAGCCTACAGCAAAAACGGCTAAATATATTGCGCCAAAATCTATACACAGCTACAAACAGGTTGTAGGACTATTTTTAAGTTGATTCTTGGAAGCTGAGATTTTCACCCTCGCAGGAACGTAAAAGCTATTTAAGCACCGTTATACTAGTCGGAAATGCCCCGCTTTATACTAGTTGGATTTTAAGTCTATTTGAGTTTTTTAATCTGATGTTTGGACGTTGTTTAATCTTTAACTTGTTTCTATTAACCTTTTTATAGAATTTTATTTTTTGTTTTTCATTTTATACTCGCTGTTTGGCGCAGATCTCCACATTGCTTTGCGCCAATAAATCCCAAACAACCAACCAACCACTAATCGGAAACGCTTCGTTTTATTAAAGTAAAATGTGTATTTTTATGTGTCTACAGCCTTGTTATTATTATTTATTATAGTTTTACAAGCAGCTACAGAAAAAACGGCCACGAATATTTTACTGAAACCTGGACAACAGTAATGAATGCAGTACTGAACATGTCATAGGGTAGTTTGAATTAATCCCTTCGTCTTTTTGCCCTGAAGAATTTCTCCAAGTTATTCTCTTTCCGCCATTGAAAAAAAATGTAGTGTTTTACTAATACGCAATAAAAACAAAAATAATTTGTGCAACTTATAGCGCATTAACTGGAAACTGCCACGTTGGTATTCATCTTCGCACGAGTTCCTGTTCTTCATTGTTTCTCAAGTTCTCTACGTGGTTTTCTGAAACTACTTCAGTGAGTTTTCTAACAATAGATGATTACCATAGTAGATTTTTCTACTCTTGTGAGTGGTGATTTATTCTACTGATTTTCGTACTGGCGAAATTGCGAGTGCGTATTTTAGTATTATTTGATTGCAAAATAATTAAAATTGTTAATTTAAAAAAGGAGATTAGGAATTGTCAAAAGTAAAGAAACAAAAAATGCAAAGTTTATATCTTCAAGCCTACAATTAGGGACTTAACAAAAAGTAAATAAACTAGGCTGAAAATAGTGTCTACATTATTTTCTCAAGCTACAAATCGCTATTTTGACTCCATGTTTAGACTACTTTTCAATTTTAGTGAAGCAAAGATGGAGGTTTTTAACGTGATAAAATAATGTAGACACTATTTCCAGCCTGGTTTGTTTACATGTTTTTAAGAGTCCCTAGTTGTAGGCTTGAAAATATCTTTGCATTTTGATTCAACTTGTTTCTGTACTTTTTTGACGATCTTTATTTCCCTTTTTAAATTAACAATTTTTAATTCCTTTGTTTGTTAAGTTTTTTATGCCCAATTATGGTAAATAAATTTTAAGCTACATACGAGCATATGCATTGAGTTGAATATTACATGTTTTTCAACAATTTGCAGTGAACTGTTAAAAAACACGTAACATTCAACCGAATGCATATGTAAGTTTGTACTCTAAAATTTATTCTCCACAAATGGACTTACAAAAACTTAAGAAACAAGATAATTAAAAATTGTTAATTTTAAAACGGCGATGGGGATCGTCAAAAAAATACAGAAATATGTTGAATCAAAATGCAAATATTATATTTTCAAGCCTAGAACTAGGGATTCTAAAGAAGTCAACAAGCTAGGCTAGAAATAGTGTCTACATTATTTTCTCAAGTTACAAATTTCTATTTTGACTCTACTAAATTTAAGAAGTACTGTAGACATGGCATATTAACATTGTCAAAATGTTAGAGAATTTGAAGATTTCACCGAAAATGATTTGTAATTTTGAATATCAAACGTAATTTAGCGATAAATATATTTGAATTTCCAAACATTTCTAAGTGTGCACGTACATAAATGTTAAAAATCACAAGACTTAGCTTTATGATCATTTTATTTCAAAAAATCATGTTTAAGGATATTGAAAATTCTCATTTATAACTTAGAAACAGGGAGAATTAATGAGACATACCATCGAAACGCAACATTTCTAGTAAATATGCATTAACGTTAGTTCACAACACGTGTCGGAAAGGTCTGAACTGGTTGTAGAAAACAAAAATTTTTAGTAAAAAAATTAGTATTGCATTTTGAAAATTATGGTAAACTGCGCAAAAAAAATATAATTCCAAGTTTCATATGCAGCAGGTTGTTTGATGTGAATGCATGGAGCTTGAATGTGAGGAGTTTCTCTTTATGCAGCTCAAAATATGCTGGTAAACAAACAAATCTGTGTCAAACAGTGCTGCTAGACTTATTGCTGGGCAATATGTGGGGGCCTGGAGAGGAGAAAATAGAGTGTCAGTACCACGGGACACTCCTCCCCCTACCACCCCCAGGATTATAATATAATTTAACGCGCCAATCGCTGTTTGTTCCAAATAACATTACTCTTTTCACCAATTGCAGAAGAAAAATAAAGAAGAAAACACTTGCAGGTCATTAAACACCCTCAGGCGAATTAAAACTTTGTCGCAATATTTATTAGCTTGTTTACGGATAAATTTCTCATCTATTTCAATATTTTTTATCCCTATGACAATTACCAGATTAGAACACTAAAATCGCCCAGCGATCAAAATGAAAAGAATCCCACTCATTTGCTAAACTATTGTTTTACACTTATGCTAGTTTCTTTCACATTGAAGATTTTCTTATGCGACATTAGCATAATGTATGTGCAATTATAAAATCAAGATGATATAATATTAGGTAAATAAATAAATACATATATATAAACATACATACATATGCGTGTTTGTGTGTATGAATATATTCCATCCTATGCTGTTTGGTTATTTTTCTTTAATATTTTATGAGAGGGATAGAACAAAAAATACAGTGAAAAAAATCACTACTCATCGCCATGGGATGAAATAAATATCAATCTCTACGCTTTAGCAATGATGCTTAAAGTAGATTTTACTCGTTAATCAGATAAAGGAAACTTTGTGATAAAACAATATGTTGGGAAGGGCTTAAACCTAACGTTGACATATATAATCGGTATTAAAATTAAAAATAAATTTCTATTTTATTAATCCTTACCATAATAACGTGATATGTAAAAGACTTAAGTAAAAAATTATAATAATTACAATTCATTTGCTTAAATAGGAAATATTCTTTCTGTTGTTACGATTTATGCCAATAGGGGGCAGAGTATCATCATTTTTATTTTATGGTTGTGTTTTTTTTTAAAACAAACTTTGCATTATCCATAGTAGGTGTTCAGCCGAAAAGCGCTTAGAAATAGTTATATGTGTTAGTATGACTGACCTTAAGGTAATCACAAAGTTAAACTGTAAGATATTTTGAGTTAATTTCAGTCATTACATGTGTAATGTCATGACTCGATGATTCTTCTACAGTAGGTGTAGACTACTAATAGTAAGACTAAGACTCAAAACCTCATTCTCCTTGATACTTAAGCAGGATTGTTATACGAAAGAATCGACTGTTGGAAAAGACGATCCAGTTCAGGAGTTTTAGGTAGGCCTAAGCATTATTACGTTTTATGAGAAAGTAAAATAACTGACAAACAACTTGTCTTTGTTTTTAGTGTTTAATGATAAACTTAACACAGCTACTACTATTACTTTTTAATATTTTTCATATAATATTGAAGCGAGTTATCTAGAAGATTATCTGATAGTGTTGGAATGTTTGAATAGTTGTGTAGAAATAGTGAGTTTGTTGATCGTGGGACTCTAAACTTTTTCGTTAAAATATAATTTTGTATTAGAAGAAGAAGTAATATTATCCAGCTCTGCTGGTAACGGTTCGTTAGTCCGAGGGCCCATTACTCCGAAGGCCCTATAATCCGAAGATATGTTTTTTAACAGTTAAAATGATTGGTTGGTTAAGTTTGTGAAATTTTATGGCAAAAACACCCCAGGGTATGGCCTAAAAGGTTGCAATTTCTCATGAATGGATGGATCATATTATTTACTTTATGTTATGTGAATGGGTACTGTATAGTGGGTGCTACTATAGCGTGCAGTCTACCGGGACTTTTACACTGTAATAGATGTACGGTCTACCGAGACTTTTACACTATAAACAAAGCATATAAAGATGTTGAATAATAGCAGTCTACCTGGGATATTTACACTGCTAAATAATTTATTAATGATCCTTATTATGATAAAAAACAAACAACACAAAATTGTGCTACATAATTATTTTTAATGACATACACTTCGTACCACATTCTTAACAAATTATTTACATTTAAATCCTTTAACGATATACACTTCGTATATCATTTACAAATGCCACAAATAAATCAGCTGCATCTTTTCTTAGCAGTGTTAGCTGAAGATCCCCCATATTTACACATCAGGATTGGATTTGGGAATCTAGCTCTTCTGAGAGAATTGACATTCAAGATTTTATTTAATAGTGCTGGAGAACGAATGTTATACTCCTGGCTCATTAAACATGTCGACAGCTTGATAAACGTATATAAAAAAAATCTTTACACTCCACTTAAGAATAAAGAATATATTTTTATTTCAACCAACGTTTCGACTTTGGGGCTTCATCAGGGTTAATATACACAACTCTATGTTGAAAGCTTCTAGTTCTAGTCAGTAAAAATATCTTGACACCGAGCAGGCCCAAACGAAGAATGTATGAAAGGGGGTGTTCTGATTTGTGAGATCAAAAGTCCACATATATTGTGCAGAGCACAATCAGCATGCTAATGGGACTGGGGCCTAGGGGCACACCCCACAGAAAATATGTAAAACGATAGGTGGTATGAGATTAAATGTTTAAGCAATTTTGCATGAACTATAGTTTAATATATCTATCTGTTCCCCTTCACTTTTTTTCTCATTTTTTAGAAGGTTGACTGTGAACCACTGTGCAGTGATAATTTTCCATCATTTTGAGGGAAACTGGCCATTGTCGATGCTACCCGATCCAAGTGCCATGGTGGAAGTTGGAGCAGGCTGACTGACTATCTTTCACCTCTTTCTCAGACATTAATCCTGCTGTTGTTACTCTTCCATCTATTAACGACTGTGCGGAGGCAGTAACTGATTGTATAATTCAAGCAGCTGTTCATTCTATCCCCAAAACCTCGACATGCTTCCCATGGTATTCTCATCCATGGTGGTCTCCTGTCTGCCAGCAGGCATGAAAGGCTTAGAAACGGGCCTGGGATACCTTTCACAGCTATCCCACTCTTTCCCCAACCACATTGCTTTCCAGCGAGCCTGTGCCTATGCTTGGCAGTTCAGATGTCAAAGCCAGAGGGAATCTTGGATTAAGTTCACCACCAGGATATCTTCTACCACCAATTCCAAAGTCATCCGGGACAAGAATAAGATCAAGTGGAAGTATGCTTCCCATACCCTTTCCATCTTGCTCTCCAATGGCCAGGAAGTTGCTGATGTACAAATGTACCAATGATGTACCAATATTCATGTGGACAGCTTTGCTCATCTCTCCAGCACTTCTGTTTCATCCTCTGCCTTCTTGGTTATCAAGTCTTCGGCAGAGCAATCACCTCTTTCCTTTAGGGCTGATTGTCTCTATAATTGCCCTTTTAAACTTGCTCTTCATCAGTCTGGCAGTACTTTGGTTGGGCCTGATGACGTTCATTACGAGATGCTGTGTCAAAATTTCCTGCCTATCTTGCTCTACATCTGGTTGTTTTTTAATCGGATCTGGCAGGAGAACGTTTTTCCTGATATTTGACAAAAGACTATTGTTCTTCCTTTTACAAAGACTAGGAAGGATCCCAAAATTCCTTCTAATTCTCACCCAATTGCTTTGACAAGCTGTCTCTGTAAGGTCTTGGAGAGGATGGTTAATACATGTGTTGTTTGGTTCCTTGAATCAAAAACCTCCTCTCGCCTACCAATTGTGGTTTTCATAGACATCACTCCATCATGGACCACTTGATTTATCTTGAATCCTCGATCAGGCTAGCCTTCCTCAAGAGAGAGCAACTTGTTTCTGTTGACTCTGATCTTGAGAATGCTTATGACATTTCTGGGAGGTTTGTCATTTTATTTGTAACTTTTCACTTAACAGGCGATTCCAAGTCCATGTGGGCTTCACCCTTTCCCGTTCTTTCACATACGAACTTGGAGTACCTTAGAGCTGTCTTGAGTGTCACCCTTTTCAATATCAAGATTAATGCTATTACTCGACAACTTCCTCCAACTGTTGTGAATGGCTTCTATATTGACGACTTCCACATTTCTTGCCAGTCGTCAAACATGAGGTTTATTGAGTGACAGCCTCAGACTCTTTGTACTCGCTTGTTGAGGTGGACCATAGCAAATAGTTTCACCATTTCTTTCTCTAAAACCATCTGCATTCATTTTTGCCACCAACGGGGTTTACACCCTAATCTTCAGCTTTGTCTCGGTGGTGTTCTTCTTCTTGTGGTTCCTGAAACGAAGTTCTTGGGGCTTTTGTTTGACCACAAGCTGACTTTTATTCTTCACATTAAGCAGCTTCATGTCAAGTGTATTCAGGCACTGAACATCCTCTGTGTCCTCTCTTCTACCTCTTGGTGAACAAATCAATGTTCCATGCTCAAGATCTATCATGCCCTTATATGATCCTAGCTGGACTATGGCTCCATGGTCTATGGTTCTGCCAGGTTCTCTGCCTTGAAGATGTTGGACCTTGTACACCATCTGAGGCTTTGACTCTGCACAGGGGCATTCCACACTTCTCCAGTCAAGAGTTTGTACACTGAGTCCCATTGTCAGGGTTTTATATATGTGTGGGCTGGGATTCTTCTACGGTAGGTGTTTGTGACTTGTTGGCAATAAATTCGAACAATAAACGGAAAGCACACAATCCAGTTGTTTTAAAATAATATATTCAAAACTAGTCAAACGTATGTACAAAAATTCTTTACACTATAGGAAATCACAGTTTTATCTAAAACTCTAAATAATTCTCTTTTCTTGTCAAAAGTCCACACAGGCTGATTCAATTACTTTAGAATCCAATTGACAAGACGAATTATTTTCTCTATCCTGATTCTTACTATACAATCTGCGATAAATTCACTCTCGTTACCTCATGAGTTACCACAGTAGCATATCGAACTTTAAATAATTGTCTCCTTTCGTCAAAGTCCACACATACGGTTTTAATTACTTTAGAACACCCTTTGACAAGACAAATTCTTCTTCTTATCTCTGTTAGTCTCTGAAACTCACTTTAAAATATCACTGTTAAGGCTAATCACTTTCACCCCAGCGATCTTCTTGTTTTCTAATTTTTTTCTGATTGAACTTTTACTTAACTTTTACTTAATTTGCTTCTAACTTTTTTATAAATCGCTCGACACGCTAAACTGTCAAATCACTCAGTTTAGATCTGACTAAATATTTCTCACTTGACTTTCCTCTGCTTCTTAACTTCCTCTCGCGAGCCACCTAGTATCACGCCACTCCTTCTCTCGAATCTTCGAGAAATTACTAGATATAGGGTAGTCTGGTATATATAAAATGGTCACAACGTGACGCAATAATGTGTGTAGGTAGTGAGTAATTGAACTGCAGTCAGAAAGTATTGTTTGTTGTTATAGCATTTGTTATAGAGCGACTGTTGAAAATAAGTGTATCGGTAAAGTTATATTCAGAAAGAATAAACCAGTTTTATTAAGAAAGGACTTGTGTCGCTAAAGTTTAGTCGGAAAGAAGTTACAGAAAATCAACTAACGAACGGAGACGTAACTAACTGGTATCAGAAGTGGAACGAAAAAAAAATGGAAACGAGAGGCGGAAAATC